ATCTTTGTCGCCATATTTATTGCAACGTTTCGGCCGAAACGTTGTAATAAATATGGCGACAAAGGTGTGGTCAATAGTCCGAATAATGCAAATAGTATATACCTCATCTCAGAAATATAGACAGATATCAATGTGAGTGTCCAAGAAAAATAACGTTTAATAGAGTGTGTAAATATAAGAGGTAGTTTCAAAATGAGTGGCAACAGTTTGTTTCATGTTTGAGAAAATTGAGGTAGTTAAGGATATTTAATCTGTGACAATTTTAAACCATGAGATAAAAAAAGGCAAAAATATTAGTAAAAAGTCGTGGAATATGTAAAATTGGTTTACTGTTTGTTTAGGTTTAAAACTCTTTTCCCTAACTCTTAACTTTTACTTTTTTTTGCTTGCAGGCAATTTGTTCTGCCCTTTCAAAATTGAGTGGAATTACAGCTGATAATTGTGAGTATCTTTTATCCCTGCTGATAATTTTCATGTAGATGTTCAAAATCTTTTGGCCATCATTAGTCATTATCAAGAACAAAATATGGTTTGAAAATTCAGTAAAATTTATATATTGTTTTTTAAAGAAGTAATGGATATTTTATTTATTATTCTGACAGATTTTGTCACTTTAAGCATTATTTTTAGTGGATGCTCATATTTGAGTGGACTATCTATTAAATGGTATATTGTCGAAAAATCTTATTAATCTTTAGCACACTGCATTATTAACATTACTTCTCTTTCCACTGTATTCTTTTTCAAGGCTTCTCAATTGCAGTAACCTTATTGTTAATTTCACTAAAAGGTGTTTTCTGTTGCTATAGCAGGATATGACAACACAACTATGAAAATGAAATAAATTCAAATTCAGGGATCAGTCATCTTCAGTGGTAGGATAAGCTTTTTTTCACGGCAAATGAAGTCACATACAGTAGTAAAGGTTAAAGAAAGTGCATTTTTCTTTAATATGAAAATAGTGCTTGTAAAGTGGTTGAAACAACAAAAGATGAGGAAATTGGTTTGAAAAAGAAAAAAAATAATTAAGAATTTTATCTCAGACATAAAAAAGGCTAAAATATTAGTAAAAATTCGTGGAATATTTAAAATTAGTTTACTGTTTGTTTAGGTTTAAAACTCTTTTCCCTAACTCTTAACTTTTGTTTTGCAGGCAATTTATTCTTTAAGCGTTATTTTGAGTGGATTCATTGTCTTTCTTTAGCGACATATTAACTTCCATGGGTTATTTAATGCCGAAATCTAAATATTTAGTAAGCAAATTTTTATTTCATTTTTTGGAGATAACACTGGTTTAATGATACAAATCTTACTAATTAACCCATAGATGGGAGAGAAGAGGTGGATTCATAACTTTTTGTTAGTGCGTAAGTGAATATAACGGACTCAACTGGAGTTGGAACTCGGCTTTCCGATTAGGAATTACCATTACATCACTGCACATCCAACGGTCACCCCTCTAGCTACTGACCAGGCTCGACGTCGCTTAACTTTGTACGGAAACCGATGTTTCAACGTGATCTGGCCGTAAGCCAATTTTGGTTGATGCTCTGATTTGAGTAGACGCTCTGTTTATTTGTTAAACGTCTACCGGCCTGAATATTCGAGAAATCTTATTATAGAAAAAGATGTGCGCTTTTCTTAATGTTATTAGTCAAAAATAAGTTCCGTTTTCGTTTACTAATTTTATTCTGTGAGAAATAAAGGACGGCAATGAAATTGTATTCAGTTACGTATCTATAATTATTTGCAATGTCTTTGCTTCCACTTATCAAGCGGCTCTCCGATACCTTTTTCAGCAATATCCCGTAGCATTTGATGTGGAAAAAATTTTCGATGATCTCTTGAATCTGGTTTTCTCGAGAGAAACGTTTCCCGTCAAGGTATTTTGTAGTGATTGAAAAAAATCATTAATCCCTTGGTAACCCCAGGTAAATATGGCGAATGGGGTAAAGCAGATCAGCCGAGTTTTTTTTATTATTAGTATCACCCCATACAAGACATTAAAGCCACTAAGGCAGGGTGTGGAGGAATTAGGAACAGAAACATTAATAATGAGTGGGAAGAGGAAAGAATAATCAGGAGGAGAGTAGATAGCGATTGACATTGCACTTTATTTGCAAATTTGGCTGGAAAGTACGGAACCGGATGGGAGTTCCACAAGCGAGATGTGCGAGAGAAGAAACTGCCAGCATAGAATTTACAGTTACATCTCGTCAGCTCAACTCTAAATTGATGTGATCTCGACGTTAGCCTAGTACTGAGCTTAAATTCAAAGAATCTAGGTACCATGGAAATATTTATAGAAAAGACACAGAAAGGCAAACTTATGGCGATGGGAAAGTGATTGGAGCCGAGCCGCCAGATCAGGATCAATAATATAACTGATTTTATCAAGGAGCTCAAAGTAAGCATGGACGAATGATAGATATATAGATATGTTCCACATTGTTTTCCCGTGTTATTCTTGCTGTATGCGGCTTTGTGCTGTGACTGATATTTTTCGTTTTGACGAAAGTAGGGCGCTTTTTGAACAAACGTTCATGGACAGGTTACAGCTGCTGGATGTATAAATGTGCATTTAGTGTATCATCGCCTTTCAATAATGAAAATAAATGAATAATACTTGATAATTCTACCACACGCACATTACCCTTCTTCCATAGATCTCAGTTTTAGCGGTCAGTTGTGGAGTTTCATCCTTGCTAACCCACGGCGTTTTGAACTTCACATTGTTCATATATCGGTGTACAAGGAAATTATTCTTATTTGCCACGTTATATTTAATAATTACCTTTATACATTCGGCTTTAAAATTAGTTCCCGAAAACGGAAATTACATTTGACCTCAACCTAATATATTTCATTCGTCCATACATTTCATATTTCTTTCTTTCTTTCTTTCTTTTTTGCCTGTTAATATAAAAATTTATTCTTTCTTTCTTCACTTTTTCTGGATATTTTTCTTCCTTCCATCTTTTTTTGTTTGTCTTTTTGTTTGATTCTGTTTGTTGGTTTGTTTCTTGTTTTTCTGTCCAGGAGTCAACTTCCCTTCGAATGCCATTGGTAAGGAGGAAGTTCCGTTTGGGCAGCTTCTTCTTAAGGTCCGCTACTTTATGAAACAGACTCTACAACTTTAATCTTTTCAAGTCTCGGTTCAACACTTACTTCTCGTCCGTATGTAAATAATCCTTTTTTTTATTTCCCCTTCTTACATCCACACAGCAACCTCCTTAAGTAGCTCTCTAACTGACCCTTGAACCTCTTATAAACTGAATATTCAGTAAAATAATTAAATGAAACGTTAATCGTTTTTCCCTGACAATGTTTCCGTAAATTTTATCCAATACTTTGGAGATACTTTCTCGAACATGTTTATAGTTAAAATTGTTTGATATTATTTCTGAAGCGGGTAACATCCCGGCTTCATCATTTGAGGTCTACCAAATAAAATGGAAAAAAAAATCATTAAGCTAGTAGTTTTCAAGATAATTGCATTTGGGACACCCTGTATTTGATTATGTAAAAATGATGACATTTTAAAAGCAATTATTTTGAAAACTACAAAGTCTAGCTCAATGAAATTGAACAGTTTAGGTGTTGAACATCATAAATTTATTATGGGACCGATTTCATAAGTGTTCAATATGGGCACCGCCTGTGACACGGCACATGTAATTAGGTAGTTAAGCTCTTGCCAAACACGCTGACGTTACTGATGGTCTACAAGATCCTTTAGCTCTGAATAAGTAGCCTTCCTCTTTAAATTTTTGGTACAAAGTTCAGATTTGTTTGCTAGTTGGTGAAGTCTTTCCAAATTTTCCATTGAAGGCACGCTGCATAGCCTTGGGTGACTGTGTGCGAGCATAATTCCAAGACGCAAAATGACTTCTCTTTAGGAACAGCAGGGCTCAACAAGAAAACAGATCAAAAAATGTAACATTAAATATGAAATCTTGGTCACTTTCTATACATTCTGTGAAAATTTGAGGGGATTACAACAAGAAATGCCCAAATTATTGGCCTCCGAAATTATATCAAATTTTTTGGGACACTCTGTATATTAACATTCAATGCCACTTCAAACAAAAGGTTAGTTAAGGACCCTCCCCTATCAATACTGAAAAGAGCGATAACAGCTACCGGAGTTGAGAAATCTGAAACCTTTTTAAGAGAAAGGTTTTATAAATTTCAATCGAAAGAAGTACTCGGTTAATGAAAGGCAAATGTTTCCTTATAGGGAAACGGCTAATATTATCATTACCATTAGTCTTTCTTCAAATATTTCTCAACGATTTTATTTCAGGGCCTTCAATACTTGGGAATTGGTAGAATTGCAATCATAGCCCGAAATATTTTGCGATATTCGCCCTTGTGTCAGACAAAGAGAAACTTAATAAATATCGATTCATATTCTCACAAGCGATAAAAGAAAGATTCATTGTATTCGGAATCAATCCACTTTATATTGATTTGAGATTTTTTTTTTTTTGTCGATTGAATCTTTTGCCTGAGAAAGTTGTGATAAGGAAACAGAAAATAGAGGCCAGACAATCTAGACGCGATACGAGTTAAACGCTTATCAACTGAAATATGCTTTTTTCTTTGTCTCTTTCTTTCTTTCTTTCCATTTATTCTTAACTTTCTTTTTTTCTTTTCCTTTTATCTGTCTCCATTAGTGCTTATATTAATAACTTTTCTTTCCTTTCTCTTTTATTTCTTTAACTTCTTTCTTTCCTTCTTTGTTTTTGTCCATTACTGTTTATGTTAATTTACTCTTTCTTTCTTTCTTTCTTTCTTTCTTTCTTTCTTTCTTTCTTTCTTTCTTTCTCCATTATTTCTTATCTTGATTAACGTTTCTTCTTTCTTTCTTCTTTATTTTTAAAATTTTTCTTTCTTTTGTTCGATTCCTGTTTATCTTAACTGTTCTTTCTTTCATCCCTTCATTTTGAAATTGTTTAACTTTATTTACATTTTCTTTCTTTCTTTTCCGTTTAAAGATTTCTCTTCTTTCTCTCTCCGTTTGACGATTATTTTATTTTAAAATCATTCTTTGATCTTGTTCTCTTTTCCTTAAATGTTTTTTTTGTCTCTATTTTCACCCTTTTCCTTCACTTCTCTAATGTATTCATTCATGTTTTTCCCCTTTTGCCGCTTATGCTGCTTTTTGTCTTTTTTCTTCATCCTTTCTTATACAACGATTTGCTACTTTTGCGAACACATACTTTCCATGATTAATAGCTAATCGATCCGAACCCATTTCCGATGAAGAACTGAAATGAAGATATCGATTTTCTCTTTTATTTCATTTTCTACTGACAGCCATTTCCGCCCTAAACCGCCATCAGCAACAATAAAAAATGTCGGCTGCAAACAATGAAAATGCCGTCACAGCGATATGGCGACTTGGTTGGAGAACACTTGTGTAGCATTCGTTAGTTGTAAAAAGAAAAAGAAAAGGGTTAAGTTAAATGATTTTGGCTGACTCTCTGACCTCATCTGTCTGATTCCAAATACTTTCCCTCGGTTGCTCGTTTTACTGAAAAAAATTCTGTCGACCTGAATCAGTCAAACATTTACCTTACTTTCTGTTATCTCAACTTACAATTTTTCTACTTTGGGACCAGCAAATATTTATTTATTTATTTCGTCCTTTCTTTCTTTAAAACTTATTCAAGGCTTCCTTTTTTCTTTCTCTGGTTTGTGAAACATTTTTATTTGCCAAGTTTTTCATTAGTTTTGCATTTTATCTGATTGTTGCTAAATGTTCAGCCAATTTTTAGTTAATTCATTTGGTTTGTTACTATCTGTCTGTCTATCTATCTATCCAACTCTTTCTTTCTTTCTTTCTTTCTTTTTGTCTGTCTGTCTGTTTATTTGCCTGCCTTTCTGTCTTTCTGTCCGTCTTTCTTTCTTTCAATCTATCTATCTATCTATCTATCTATCTATCTATCTATCTATCTATCTCTTTCTTTGTTTCTTTTTGTCTCTCTATCTCTGTCTGTTTATTTGTCTGCCTTTCTGTCTTTCTTTCTTTCTTTCTTTCTTTCTTTCAATCTATCTATCTATCTATCTATCTATCTATCTATCTATCTATCTATCTATGTTTCTTTTGTCTCTCTGTCTGTCTGTTTATTTGTCTGCCTTTCTGTCTGCCGTTCTTTCTTTTTTTTCTTTCAACCTATCTATCTATCTATCTATCTTAGCTCTAAATAATATAAACTGGAAAAACAGGACAACAATAACAATAACGATTTTGAAAGTTGGCCCAGTAATTTGAATGGAAGTGGCAACATTCAAAATAAAGAATTAAAAATATTCTATTCAATGGCGGTAATATCATAAATGTTATCTTCAGCTTCTCGAAAGTTCCTTTGCCCGCCATATTGCTTTTAAAAAAAAATCTTGTAACATAAAATCGAATAAAACGAAGAATTAATCACCATTAATTTATATGATAATTTATTTCTGAACGTTTTTAGGCGCCATAATTAATTTAGACTCTCAGCCTTCTTCAATATGGAAGATCTAAATTTTTATGACTGATAATTGGATATTAGACTCACGTATTTTTTTCTCACATTTTTTTTCTTATTCGCTCCAATCAGACGTAGGCAATCATGGGCCTCCATAATTTTCTATCCTTTGTAGTTTTAAGTAAATTCTGTCTGATTACCACCTCTTCCAGTTCTGACATCCATTTGAACAAACACAAAGTCATTTAATTTACCTCGGCTCCTCTTCAATATGCCTTGTGGGTGACAAATTCTCTAAGCAGCCTTTCCTCATTATGCTTCCCAGCAATTTTAATTGTCTCGTTCTGATTATCAGTATTAGTTTCCTTTTCGTTTTTTTTTCCTTTAAAACTATATCAGTGTCCAGCATTCCTTGTTATATAGGAAGATTGATATTACGTAGCTGATCATCGCCCTACACTTTTTGTAAGAGTGGGAGACATCTTGAAAGGCTGGCCTAAAACTCTCCAATTTCAAGATTAAAGTCTTACTTCACTTCAAGCTAGTGTGCCCTCAGAAATTGTCTGACAGCTATGACTTGGTTCTCCTGTTTGTGTGGCATGGTGCAGAGTCTTCTTGCCAGACATAGGGTCTTCTGCCATGATCGAATTCAGTGGTGATTTTATTGAATAAATTTACCCTTTAGTATTTGAAGATATTTTTCTGTAATTTTAGTAAATATATCTTTAGAATGAGATGTCAGTATTATTTTTCTTTTTGGATAATTTAGACGACAATTTGCTAATTATTAAACCACATCGATGTGGTGCAATAATTAGCAAGCTTGTCTCACTTGATCAATTACGACTGTGTACTGAGTTCGACTGTCACTGGGTTCTCCATACTTTCGGCCTTGTGCCACTTCTAAAGTACGCTTAATAAATAGCTATAAATTTAGACATATGTTTGATTTTAAAGTCAAACATGTCGACATCGGTTCTGTTATATTTCGTCTCGAGAAAGGTGGCCAGTGTCTGGTTTACACTAAAGTGAAAAGGTCAGATTTATACTAGAATAAAAACAAAAACAAAAACAAAGTAGAAACAGGGCCAGTTTATACACGAGGGAAAAAGGTAGATATAAATTCTATTTATACCACTTAGTATCCTCCAGGATGTTGTTACCGGAACCTAAGCTGCTCTGAAAGAGCAACTTATTTGCAATGGATAAGAAATGTTTAACTGTCTTGAGGGTGAGGATCGTGCAAATCATTGCAAAGGGCAAGACCTTCCGCAGTTCGACAAAACGACAAGACAACCGGTGGCTCTTTACATAGACCCAAATATAAACAAGCTCCATCTAATGATTTTGATGAACGATAAAAAATGGTCAAACATGAGCCTTTGTGCCTGCAAAAAAAAAAATTCCCCCCAAAAGCCGGTTGTCAAAAGGACATGACACCGCTTTTATTTGAACAACCTACACACCTCAGCAATATTTATTGTTTTAAAAAGCAGTGATTGAAATTGTAATATGATGAATGTGAATTTATACATTTTTGGGTTAATTTCTCAACAACAAATGAATATGCATCATTTCATTTTCATCATATCTTGAGGTTTATTACAATTCTTATCATCGCTTTTTAAAATGATAAAAAAAAGTTTTATGCAGGCATGGAGGTTTATTTTTTGCTCAGAAATGTTTATCGGAGATAAAAGAAATGGGTTAAGTTAGATTTGTGTTGACCAGACTTTGCAAAGAAATATCTCTCGTGTACACTATCATTAATTTCTGGAGTTTAAATCCGCAGCTAAATTCAGATTAAATATAAAGTTTCTTGCACTTTTCATCCAACTAAAATCGACTAAAAATAAGAATTGATATAACTTAAGCAGGGAGCGATTTTATAAGCACAAGAACAGAATATACGCTGCCTTGTGGGAAAGCGAAACAAGAAGAAAAATATATCAAGATGAACTCTTTATTTGATAAAAAACCTGTTTCAATACAAATATAAAAATTGTATTCAAGCAACAGGATTTCAAGCAAACAAGTTTTGGTGAAATTCAATTGATAAATTCTGACGATTACATTTTCTTAACATTTTTCCAATAATCAAATAAATGTTGAGTTTAAGCATGTTTATACATACATACACCCCCAATATATATATATATATATATATATATATATATATATATATATATATATATATATATACGCCTAAATACACTTGTATAATGGCATTGCTATTTCACCTTTTCATCGTTTTCTTTCTTTCCCTATTTCTTTTCCTTCTTTTCTCTCTCTTTATCCTTTTATAATCGGTATCACCCCATGCAAGGCAGTAAAGCCACTAACGCGCAAGAGCTTACAGGGTGTGAAAGGATTAGGAACAAAAGTATTAATAATGAGCGTTAAGAAAAAAAAAAGAGCATTCAGGAGGAGAGTAGATAGCGATTGACATTGCATATCAATTTTTGTTGATTAAAGTTGGTTGGAAATATAAATAGCTACCACCGAGTTAGCAAGAGAACAATGTTGCAAAATTGAGCAAGAGCGAAGAGAAGAGGTAAGAAATAAATCAAGTACAGAACAACCTGTTGCTCGATTTTGCTAGTGAAGCGAGCAGGGACCGAGTTTAATAGCGAAAGACAGAAGCACATGAAAGATTAATCGAGAGACAATTCTCTGGCCATCGATAGATTATCACGGATGTAAACACCAAGGCCATGCATGGGAATGTTGGAATCTTTTCCGCAAAGATGAA